ATCATCCATTTCACCATCTGACGGGTCCATATACTCAGGGACATAGTCGGCGTCAAGCTCGATGTCATCTCGCATCATCATCGACGCCTCTTCTCTTCATTTCGTCCCTGAACTGTGTCGTGCTCCTTGCCTTTAGCTCTTGTAGATCTCTCATGGCAGCAGCTCTGTCACTCGGCACTGGCATTCCTGTATCCTGCACAAGGGGACGAACTTGACGAGCTCCACATCGAAGTAGTGAAGTTCCGTGGCACAACCAGTAGACGTTCACACTTGGTTGTTCTTCGATTGCCACTATGCGTGCAGGGCCACGCCATCCACTTTTGTGCAGTCGTCTGAGGTTCTTTCGCCAGTACCAGACTTGTTGACCAATCACAAGGTCCTCCTGCATCTCAGAAAACTTCTGATTGAATGCCCTTCGAAGTTTGGCATCCGAGTCTGCAGCAATGAAGGCCTTGGCAGCTTGTGCACGTCGTGCTTGAACGGCAGCGAAAGCTCCTTGTTCATCTATGGCCTCTTGAGTTGGGGTGAAGACTTCACCGCAAAGGCCGTGCACATAGCTCATCGATTTTCCAAGAACCCATTGCTGTGGCGAGAACCCTTTGTGAAAGGAGAGCTGGTTGATGGCATGAGGAACATAGAGAGCAGCTTCCTTGAGGCTTGCAAGTGAATGACTTTCACATTGGTCCATGTAGAGCTCCAATGCTCGACGAACCACTTGATGTTTTCGTTCAACAACGCCCAGCCAGGTGTGGTTCTCTGCTGGCTGCACTTCCAAAGTGATTCCTCGATCAGATGCCCAATCACGGACGAGTTCACTTGCCCAGCCCTTCGCCTCATCAATCCTGAGGACTTTTGGAAGACCAAAGTGCTTGATCCATGCCCTCTCCAAGCCTTTTGTCAGCTCTTTTGCGCGCTCAGACTGCAGGATGCGGATTGAGCAATAGCGAGTGGCATGGTCAATGATGGTCAGCACACATTGTCTTCCAGTCGGCCGCTTCTCGGCCTTGTCCTTTTCACGTCTTCGGGCAGCAGGTGTTCCAGGAGCTGGCATCTTCTCTTTCACCATGCTATCATCGCAGCTGATCCAATGGCTGTCAACCAAGATCCTGTCGTTGAACTCTGTGCATTTGAGCCCTGAAGCAGGTGGACTTTGCTTCGGTGGCTTTCTTGCATAGCACATGGGACAGGTGTAGTACTTGGCGGCTTGTAAGACATTGTCAGTTGCTTGGATCTCCTTCAGCATGCGATGAAGCACCTCCCAGCCAGGATGGCCAAGATTCTTATGGAGTCTTTGAACATACTCCACAGCTCTGGGACCCACTTGTGCTCGAAGAACTTTGTTTCGTCGAACTGGGTCAAGACTCTGGAACTCATCACCTGCCAAATCAGCAACAGGAACCATCTTCTTACTTTCATCAGTCATAGGAGGCTCTGCCGAAGTAGCCCCTGACGCCCTTGCTTGGCCGGCTTCTCGAAGCTGTTTTGCAAACTCTTCACTGACATCATCAGCTGCAAAAACATTGTCAACGACCATGAGCTCCTGACGAATGCAGTTGACGAGGTGAGTTGCAAGACCTTGTGGATAGCTTTCTGCCAGCCATGAACGGAGACCAACACCTGGGATGTTGCCCTCCAGGTGAGTGTGATGATGGTTGCCATCACAGACCTTGGTCAGCCTATCATGCAAACTCTGAGAGGTCACACGAAATGTTGTGGGCTTTTGTACTGGCAGGATCTCTTGCTTGTCGTTGGGCAGGCGAAGGCCAAACATGCACTGATCGACATGAGCATCCCACCCCTGCATCTCTTCGAAAGCTTGAGTTTGCCATGCTTTGGATCTTCGGGGGTGTTCACAAAGTGCAATCTTGTCTCTCCTCCGCTGGTGCTCATACACGACACTGCAAAACATCAGGATGTTGTCGTGGTTCCATTCGCGCATCTCATCCAGCTTCTCAGCATAGCCAGGCTTTGAGGCAATTGTCAACTCTTGAAGAGCGCTCCAAAGCTTGCATTCAGGTGAAAGCAAAACAACGTCTGGCTCCTCTTTTCGCAAGCGGCGCAGAAATGCCACTCTATGCTCTGGCAGAGTGAAGTCCCAGCCTTCACGAAGTGAAAAACGTTCAGCACACATGCCAGCTCGACGGTTGGCCGTCGTTGTGACTCTTCCTTCTCCAGCAAACACTTCCCACACCACATAGCGCTTTTCAAAGTTCATCAGTGGAGTTGCCTTGAACACCTCCTCCATCTCCTTGATGCGCTGTTCAGTGTTGTGGATGAGCTTTGTGAGCTTGGCACTTGGGAGTCGGCTCCATTCACCTTGGTTTTCATCATTCTCTGACTCATGAGGTGGCCCTGGATCAACATCTTGTGTCTGAATCTCCTCACCGGCCTCTGCTTCTATGAAGGACTCGCCCATCTCTGCAAATGAATTCTTCGGCATGGTCTCACCAGGGTGTGAGAGTGGTGCACTCTTTTCACATGCCTTGTCAATCTTCTGCAGGTCCAAAATGGTCTTTGCAGATGTGAAACTTGCGGCTTCCTCCATGACACTGTTGACGGCGTCTTCAGTGACGTTGATCATGTCACTGGCACTACCGTCAAAGAACATGTCGGTGGACAGAATCTCTGGACGCACATGCTGCTCAAAGTCATCGGGTAGAAGGACTCGATCAGGTTCAGCATCTAGCAGCTTTGGTGCATCTTCAGCCATGTGGCAAACAAATTCTCCCCGGCTCCCACGGGGACACACCTTCCACTTCTTCTTTCCCCACTTGATCTTGCCAGTGGAGTAGCTGATCGTGATGTCAAGCGCTTCCAAAATGGGTCGACCGAAAAGGAAAGGAGCTGACCCAGGAATGACATACATCAGGATGTCTCTCCGCTTGCCTTGAATGAAGGTGGGAACAAGAAGGCATACACTGGTGATATTCTTGTTGCCATTGCCGAAACGGAAGCCTTTCTTGCAGCGAAAAACGGGGATGTTGCTCACCTTGAAGCCGATGTTCTCGAGGTGCTTGAGGTAGCTCTTGAGCTTTTCCTCTGACGTCAGCACGCTTCCGGCTCCACAGTCCATCATGGCCACATCATCAGGTTGGCCTTGACTAGCCGTCACGGTCAGCTGAATCTCTTCATCCTCGACCATATTGACATCAGTCTCAAGGCTTGCTTCAGCCTTACGCTTTCCTGCAGCAGGGCAGTTGCGGGCGCGGTGACCAGCTTGACCACACCTCAGGCACTTTTCAGCTCCCAGAACAGCACGTCCTCGTGCTTTGGCACTTGGTGCTTTGGGCATCTGCTTGGAACTTCCTTTTCCAGGCTTTCCTTTGCTTTTCGACTTGCCCTTGCCTTTGCCAACGGTGTAGTTGGAGTTGGAGCCTTTTCCATGACCTTGCTCTCCTGGGATCATAGCTACCACTGGATAGTAGCCGCGGCTCATGCGCATAGCATTGAGGCGTTGTCGAGCCTCAGTGTACCCAGCAAGAACGTCATCATATTCAGCTGCAAGGTCATCTGAGATCAGGTTGATCTCTTCTTCAAACTCTTCATCTTCAGCTTCATCTCCTTCTTCAGCCCAGAAGGTCTCGTCGGCCAGGTCTTCATCTTCAAAGGCGTCTCCATCGTCATCCTCCTCGTAGTAGATGCTCTCTTTGTGAAAGGGCTGTCGCCATTTTGGAGGGCCATGCTTGTGTACTCCACGATCATGTTGATCTGGCACGCTGTCTTGCCCAATCACAAAATTCATCACCTTTCTAACACTCTCCAAACTGAGGGTCTCGGTTCCGATGGAGGTCATCACCATCTGGCGTTGACTCTGGCTGAGTCCAGCACGCCTCATGAAGTACCATCCGACAACCTTGTCAGGGAGGTTCACACCATGGCTCTCAAGTCGTCGAAGGGCTCGTTCGAAATCTCCTGAATACTCCTGGAGGGTGGCATTCTTCTTCCGAGCTAGGGTGACGAAGAAGGTCTCGAAATCACCTGGCAGCTCGGTGATTGCATCGAACTTGAAGATCTTGTCGAGACGCTCCAAGATCGCCTTCATCGAGCCAGTACCTTCCAGGGCATCCATAGGAATGTCCTCGCAGGCATCCCAAGCACGTCCCTTCAGCGTGCACAAAACATTGAACGCTGTTTCTTTCTCACGTCCAGCTAAGGCCATCTTCTTCTCATACAAGGTCAGCCTCTTCCGATATTCACGATAGTCGGAAGATCGTCCAGAAAATTCAGGAACATATTCATGGGCCTTGCCGGCATAACCTGAGGTGGAGCTCTGTGCCGATGAGGGACCGTTGGTCGACATCTAAGAACAAGCTCCGCGGCACCAACAACAAAACACTGGCAGCTCTCGAAGTCAAATCCAGCTCAGCGTACAACCCTAAGGCCACGCAGCAAACACGGTTTTGGCGCAGTCACGAGGTTCAAAGGTTCTCCATGGATCAACGTGCGCACATCCCGCCCTGGAGCCTTTTCGGAGCGGCGGGATATGCAAAAATGCTGTCACACCCTCATGGACACAGGTTTTCTTGCAGAAAACTCACACACTGAATTAGCCGTACGCGCCGATGAGCACCTCGATCAAATACCCGTCCTTAACTATTTCAACTATTGTCAAAAGAAGCCCTAGTGTTGCCACACCGCTGGGGGAATAGAGGACCACAAAAAAAACAGGTATATAAATGGACCTACATGGAAGATCCCCTATTTTCAATTTTGTGGTTCTGCGATACCTGCGCCAACCTCCTGGATACAATATTAGTTTGTGCCTCAGAAAATGGATACAAGAGGGTACAGGTCCCTGCTTTTATATGGTCATGTAGCTATGGTCATGTGGGTATTTTGGAGTGTCCCGTGCCACAGGGCCCTGTCATGCCGTGGCCACACTGTACTACCCCCTCGGGCGTGCAAGAAACCACCTGCGCCCATGCTGCGCCCATGCGCCGCGGTTCTGCCACCAAGTGGCATCCAGCACGGTGCGGATCACCTCGTTGGCCAAAACATCGCTACACACGCTCTGCGAGTGCCTCACATCCGGCAGCCAGGAGGGTCGGAGGAGTCAGAGCCAGTCGCCAGGAGGCTCAGTTGGCTCACAGAATGCTGAACAGGTCTTAACTCACCAGACTATAGGCATAGAACAAACAAACATGATGTTGTCGTAGCTTGGCGTGGGTCCAACTTGTCGTTTCGTCCTTGGGGCCAATTGATCTAGTCACCACGTCCTTTCTGGCTGGGTCGATTTGGTCCCTCTCATGAGGACAAACACAACTGTTGTTGAAGAAGAAGCAGGTCTGGGTTAAAGCCATCACAAGTCCGACATTTGATGGCCAAAACTAGCTGACCCCTGTGTGGCACTAAGATGTTTTACTTGAAAACACCGTCTCAGGCCTAACTGAATTGATCCTTGGGCACAAAAGAATGCACCTCCTCGTGCCAAGTGAAAAGCCTGGAAATCAGTCTCACCCACTCGTACGAGCCGTATGACGAATGGCTTGTCGGATGGACAAGAACCCCCCATGGCCCACCCCAACTGATCTGCAAATATGGCAGTGTCATGGAGCATCTGGGAGTGACATCTACCTCTACGAGATATCCTCTAAAACCCAGTGATGTTCAAGGACAAGTTCCTGGTGCCCTTCTGAAGGGCCTGTCCACCGTAGGTTCTTCTAGCACATCAGGTAACCCCGCGGTACAATAGGTACAAAAGGGCACTCAACATCAGATGAGAGGTTTCCACTCCAAGAATATTGTACAATTAATAGACCATTACATTACCAATAAAATCATGTTGTTCATGCTCCAGCAAGGGGTTGGGGAACTCCCTGCCTCCCTGTTTCATGGGGAATATGCCTCCGAATCGCACCAGCTCGTCATGGTGAAGCCTAATACCGTTTTTTTTGTCGCACAAGACTGACAGCCCTCTCATATCATCGAATTACTGCAGACACTACCACGCAGTTGGTAATGCTTGAACAAAGAACAACTATCTCTTATTGCAAAAGTCTCGTGAATCTGTGAAACTGTCTTGGATGCTCAGTTGGCTCACACAATGCTGAACAGGTCTCAACTCACCAGATTCAAGTGTTTGGCATAGAAAAACCATAGAACAACCAATGGTCTGTGAAAACGCTTAGAGGCTACTTGAACGCAGCCTTGAAATCTGTTCTCGCTCCCACCAAACTCACCCCGCCTGGCGTGCTCGCCTCGGGACGACCGCTGCGCATGACCGTGGTAGACTAGAAGCTGAAAATAGGGTCCAGCTTCCTCTCAAAACCAGGGGTCCTGTCTGATTTCTAGTGGGTTCTAGATGTTCTAGGTGGGTTGTGAAGTCTCTAAATGGGTACAAGCTTTTACAGGGCCATGTGCTATTTCCTATAGGATACGATTGAGGATATTAAATGATCTCTTATTAGGGGGTTCAACTCATGTCCACTGAACATGTACGTGTGGACAAAATGGAGATGATCTTGTGGCGCATCTGTCATAATCGATGCATTCAAGGATGGTTCCAAGTTCTGAACCCCAATAGGTGGTGGCCATATACCCTTTGAGGTACAGCTGTGCACTGTGCACCCTCTCGAAGCAAAGAAATCTATCGTGTAAGTGGTATGCTACTATCGCGAGAACCATCTACATTGCTTATTACTGCTAAATTATCTGATCAAACACATCCAGACACAACTGTGTCGTGGTTGGACTCTGCCTGCTTCACAGCAGCAGAAAGTGGCTCCAAGAAAATCCAAACAAATACACCGACTGAAATAATCATGGAATTGGACAGTAATCCCTGACCATATTCCTCTACCAACAGGTGGATTTCCACTTGCAGAACTATTTCAGGGAGTGTACAGTATCTGGAGACGTCCGCAGCTCGAAACAGGCTTCCCCGTTTCCGTACAGCTTGTGTTCATGTCCCACACTGGAATCCGTCCTATCACTTCGAGTCACTACTTTAAACGGTTTTGGTGATGGAACCTGCGACTCTCGTGTGTCTGGACTCTGTTAGTCAGACCTGGGACCGGGGAGGCGTCACAAGGGGGAGTATCTATATAGGGGGTGTTGTCGTCCGATGGCTCAATGATGGCGGACATCATGGTTAGTACTTTGCAACATAATCATTGGTGGTACACGACCCTGTGGGGAATCCCCTCTGTCAACTAGAAGGCGGTCTGTCTTATAGCTTTATCAAAATAGGGAGTCAGAATGAAAGAAATCGCCTACGATTGCTAATACCTCTCGTGAACTAGGAGAGAGTACCAGCAAAACAACGAGTGCTTGATTGTTCCAATGAGATCCTGTAAATGAGCATCACGTATGAATGTAGAATTCTGAAAAATAAACATCAACCTATAATCACCTGTAGCTTCGAATCCCGTTTTGGAACCAACCGCGCTGCCGTATACCAAATCTTTAATAGGTCTACTCGTCGACTGCACCGTCGTCGACTGCACCAATGATTCTAAGGCAGCAAGCAAACGTACAAACTAGTTTCTTTGGAAACTCCTGGAGCTGTACTTGGATTTGCTGTCCAACCTGGAATAAACAAGCAATATTCACCTCCGTTTACCGGGGATTCACTTCCGTTTCACCGGAAACATAACAAACATAATCCTGACCCGCATGGACCTGGTGTAGCTGGTCGCAATGCGAAGCACTTCCTTCCAAATGATCCAAGCGGCTGTGCAGGTAAACGACCAAAAGCTTCAAGTCCTTAGCGATCTGTTGGTCCAATGCGGACAAGGAACTGATGGGGAATGTTTGTCGTCTTTGTCCAATGAATGCGAGATGATGGTGAAAAAACAGTGCACAACTATAATACTTTTAACAAAGAAGAGACGCATAGTTTCAGGTCCAATCGGAAGTTCAACACCACGAAGAGACGCAAACAAGTTGGGCATGGAAGTATCTGAGAAAGAGTCTGAGACATGTAGATTGCAGCAACAAAATCCTGAGGAAAGGAACAATGTCAATGCAGGTCAGTTGTACTGCCCGAGAGTGGACTGGCACAGTCCGCTAAAACGTGAGATAAATGTAGGTGTGTCAATCCAAGGTGTTCAAATCTGTAAGCCAGCATCTCATGTAGTTTCCAACATGCTTCACCCCACATGGAGTTGGCCTTACACCCCGAACCGCTGGTAGGGTTTGGGCAAACCAACTGGATTGGAGTCCCTTTCACCGTCAAATGCAACATGATTTGTTACATGATGCAGTTCTCGCGTCGGACATGTTTGCTCCACATGGCTTTGGCTCAAACCAGTTGGAGCACTTTGGTAGCTCGACCCCAAAATGCCCCGCGGGTGCCATGACGCGCGTTTTCCGCGCGTGCCGAGAGCGGCGGGCACCGAAGTGATCAATGAGCGAAAGGATTTGCCACGAGACTCAATTGGTTGATATGATATTGGTTGCAAATCCCTAGGGCTCCTGGCCCATCTCCTCAGGTTCGGTGGGCACAGACCCTCTGTCACGCACCCGAAGCATCTTCTTAAGCGGTGGTTGGAGCCCTAGGGTACCCCAATGGGTTGGAGGCTTTTTTTGTGCGAACCTTACCCAGAGGGTCGGAAAGCCACGCCTGGGAGGTCTCTGAAACTGAAACCATTCAACAACCCACATCTCACTGGACCAAACAAAACAAAAACACATTGAATTGGCAGTGTGCAAGTGGTGAGTACCCTGCAAGTCAGGATTGATCCAAGCAACCTGCGACCATCATTGCAGCATGGCTTGAGGTGGTTGGCAAATTTAGTAAATTCAGTGGTTGTTGACATTCAACAAACCACAAACCAAAGAACCGTCGTCTTCAAACTCGTTCGACATCTCTGTTCCCTCATCAGCGTTTCTTCGTTCGCCGCTGTGGATCTGCGGCCCCGTGGAGGCGGCCCCCGAGGTCGGATGACCCATGATATAACCTCTACAAACCTGTGAGTGAAACCATACCATCCACATAACCCATGGCTATTGTCATATAAATTCAGTGAGTGAAAAACCTTTCATCATCCCTATGGGCCCTCTGGATCTACGCACCGAACCTGAGGTATGGTGATTGGAGCTGTTTGATGTAGGCTCCGGGGGTTTCAGTCGTACCTTCTGAGGTTCTGGATGTGGATCCCACACGCGCATGTGGGTCAAAACCCCCACAACCCTGGTTGACCCCGGGTCAAATGAACAGACAGAGCTCTACGTTCGGGATGTCAACCCACCAGGGTGAGGTGAAACGGGCGAAACGGGTGACATGACCCACAGCCACGCAACGGCAGTGCCGCCAAGTGGCTTGCCTGGCCCTGGTCACAGCTTGAGAGAAGGATCCCTCGTGAAACCTGCCACGGCCCAGTTCGAGTCGACGGGGTGTCGACGGGGTGTCGACGGGCGGATGAGTTGATTGATACTCACCGGATCGATTCCCCAAACGAACTCCACCCGAAATAAGCGGAATTGTTCCCTATCCCCCCAAAAGCTTTGGCCAGTTTGGCAGGTGATCCACGCAGTTGTGCTGGGTAGGTCCATACTTCTCAACACAACTGTTTGTTGCGCTGATGCTGTTGGAGCCCCTGCTTGCACGAACCAGGCTAAACCAACACGCACCAAGGAACTCGGTTCCTGCGGAGCTCGGTTCCTGCGTTCACAGCCGTTTGGCCGACCGAGCCCTCCGACCGAACTCATCCGACGGAGCACTCGAAGACTTCCATGTCTGTCCGGGTTGAACCCATCAACTCTATCAATAGACCCCAATGATAGAAACATAGATCGTAGTTAAATCATGTTAAATGTATTAGACACTGCGCAATCCTATATATATATATGTGGGAACTGTGCCATGGACCGTGCTTCAACTGCTCACCTGCGCCGAGCAGTTCTGTCTTCACCCTGAGCGCCCAGGCTCCGGCAGCGCTTGGGTCCCATAGGAGCTCTGCAAGGAGCGCCTGGACGCCGGAACGGTGCCGTCGTCCGCGACGGGTGGAATTTTGTGCACTCGTCGCCTTTCGCCTCCATCTGAGGGCACGGGTTAGGTGCGGGATGCGGGATGCGGAAGTGGATGGAGGGAAGACCGTTGGAAACCAGCAGGTTCGCATGTTTCATTTTATGGAAACCAAGCATGGATAATCCATGACCTACGCCTCCCCATTCTCCGCCCCATGCCGGGAGAAGGAATCATGCTTGAAACGCAAATCTGGGTACTTGATTGGCGGCTGATACTGAGTGGCTCAATATATTTGGCACTTTCTAGGGTCTAAGGGCACTAAGGGTAGGAACCCTGTTACAAAGGACTTTGCAGGGAAATGGCTCCATGTTAGGCAGCTGCATCAGCTATGAAGAACTTCGGTGGATCACTCCTCCTCCTCCTCCTTTGACACAAATGCCTCCTCCCCTTCGTCAGATCCCCGAGGATTCTGAGAACGATCCAATCCAAATGCAGTGACTGACTGCTGGAAGCGCACCCCTAGAAACCCTGTGCGCCCGCGGTCTGGGCATAGCAACCCAAGGTTTTCGTCACCGAAAATAGCCACCTTTGCAAGTGTTTCTCTACATGTGGTAGTGGGTCAAAAAGAGGATCCCGGATTCTGGTTTGACCACCTAAAAAAGGACAGATTCCTCTACCAGGACCTTCAGTTCGTGACCTCATTGGAGTGTGACCTCTTGGACTATATAAGCGACCTCAGACGGCGATCTCGGTCGGACGGTCAGATTGAATTGGTCTATTTGGGGACCACACGAGACCTCTGCCTACCCGGACCTGCGCGTTTTCTTAGACTTATAACCTATTGGTTGTAACCTACCCTACCTAGCTAACCAGGGTAAGTAGATTTCTAGATCGACTCCAAATTTACTATATCGAGGTGAAAACAACCTGAGGCGCACCTGAAGGCTGCGCCGCTGCTGCCCAAAGCGCCACCACCTCCCGGCTGTAGTAGCTTAGGACTAGTTCCTTTCAGCTTTGGAGGTGGATTGTAAATGGCATGCTGTCTACACCAATGCTATGATGGCTGTATGTGGGGAGCTGGACACTGGGACACTGGCCAGCATTTACCAAAACGCCATCAGTAGGGCGCTAGCCGCTAGTCCAACAAAGCATGTCCAAATCCAAAACACTCGATGTATGGTATATTTATCTACATTGGGGTGGTTTGAGGGTTCAATGTAGGCATATATGACAGACATGGAGTGTCTGGGAATCATATTCCAAAAGATTCCAAAAGGGTCTTGATTGTGGGAACCTATACCTAGCACTCCAGACATACCTTCGTTTTGGAGGTACGCCTGGGAGCACATGGGACTGCTCTGCGATGATTTCCATGAACACATCATTCTACGCTCCTGGACACATGTGTAAAATGATCTTGCAGCCATGCTCCAAACCAAACGAAGACAATTCCAGTGCAACGGACCACAACGGACCAATGGGATAATGTTCTTTCACAAAGACTCCATCGTTTGCCCTACTCAAACGATCCTTTTAAGTCAATATGACCCCACCTTCACCACCCAAAAAGACCAAATGTAGGCCATGTTACATGGATCGATATGGATCGTCTTATCCCCATTGACCACACGTTTCTTAGCCGATGCGGATGCGTGCTCGTTTGCCGGTACAGCCGCGGTTGCTCTGCGTTTGTGTTGAACCTGCTCGTGCGGGTCGCGGTGTCAACACTGCCGTGTCGCGGTGTCTGTTGAAATCCAAGGATCCCAAACACCCGGGCAATCCCTCCACACAGTACTGAATACATCTGGCACTGATGGCTCCTTAGCAATAGATCTAACATATTCTAAAATGCTGATAAAGTCTGGTGAGGAACGCAAAAGCTACACATTTAATCAAATTTACAACCAGCACAGTGTTCCATTCCACGTTTAGCCTCAAGCCAGCATCTATTCACATAGCAATTGATATTGTGAGATCTTGGAGACAAATTGAACCCCGTTTCAAAAGATAGTCATTGACCTCTCTGGGCGCCGTTTTCCACCTGGTTCTTTTGATCATTTTTGGCCCAAATCACCTAAACAATGTTGATCAATTGACATTGCATAATATATATATATATATCCTTAAGAGGAATGGATTGCATAATATATATATATATATCCTTAAGAGGAATGGATATCGTTTTGCAGGAAGTTCCCACACATGTTCCAGTTACTGTCACACTAGTGAACTGTCAACAGGCATGCCTGCAAATCCCAAACTTTTCCACGTGCAAAATGCCTCGCCTACACCGAAAAAGAAGGTGTAGACCAAGCTGAGCCTTACTTGCGTAATGTCGAAGGCTGCAAAGCGACAGAAAAAGATCTGTGATAGCGGTGAAAACGATCCGCTCTCAACGATCTGTGAGGCAGTGACAAACAGTCAAACAAACAGTGATGTGCAGTTTACCCCGTTTTTGTTCACACAAAACAACCTCTTCTGAACAAAGGAGCTGTGAAAATGACCTGCAAATAAGGCATGCCGCACACAACTATCAAAACCAAACCTATTAACATCTATTAACGATGGCTCTGATGTAATCCAACCAGCCTCCTACTCTTTTTATGGTCGTGTCAGGATCGAAAGTTGAACCCCCACAGATTCTGAGTCTGGAATTTGGAAGAAACCTGGTTTCTAGTGGAGCGCAACTAGAAGCTCCTACACAGCTTTTATACAAATTAAAATTCCGAAGCCCTCCCCGTTTGATGATTGGAAAGGTGATAATATGAGTGGGTGGGGGCTTATTGTGTCGGGCCGTGAATGGAGCAACATGCTAGTAGCTCAGCAGGAAATTGGAATAAAGCCTGGTGAGGGTCATGTCACTGTAGCCATGGGCTTCGGGCTTGTCCCTCGCGACTTTCGGACATACCAGCACCCATGCCGTAGCTAGATGGAGTGAACGAGTCATGTTTGCCCCTCAGTTTGTCATGCTTTGTCACATCTCAGCTGAAGGAACAGTTGGGAACTGACAACATCTGAACATGAATCAAATGTGGAACTGCTACCAACTCTACGCCCTGAGATGTGTGGATGTGCTTCCAAGAACTACAAACAACGTTGCCTGTGCAATCTTCCGCTGCGGCACTTGATGTTTTTTCTGAGTCTTTCTCACTGCTAGTGGCTTTGCCAGGACATCAGGGTCGGCACCGGAAGTGAGACTGAGATGAACAAATCCCTTTCCTCCTGACTGGTGCGACGAAGGTAAGGAATCAGGGATTGAATGAGCGAATGACCCCCCCACTTTCGAATGATTCCTTACAATCCAGCCAAGCTCAGCTACCCTACTTTCCTCGCACCAGTCAGCCTGCTGAGCACAAGCAGAACATGTCCACGGATCCTGCAACCTTCAACGGATCCTGCTTGCATTCTTCTTCGTGAACGTGGTGTTTTGAATGAACGTGGTGTTTTGAAGGGGACCCTGTGCAGCAACGTGCAGCATGTTTGCTTTTAGAGACATTCACGTTAGAATGTGCAGCAACACCTTTTACATGTGACGGGACGACATCATTTACGTAATAGTTGCTGTCTCTGGATCTCCATTTCTGAGAAGCTTCCACTGTTACAAAGGTCGCTCCATGTCACTCCCCATGTTCCCGCAAAACAAGTAGACCTCTGTCGCCTCAAGCTTCAGCACCCCCTGCCGCTGGGCCACACCGAAAACCCGATCTGCTTGATGCCCTGCGCGATGCGGCTGAAGAGGCCGTACCTGCAATGGACGCCGTTTGCAGCCATCAGGAGCTCTCCAGGTTTGGACCCACGTTTTGAGCTGGAAGATACTTTGACCATCCTGGTGGTTTTGACCATCCTGTGACTTATCAAACGTTGAGAACCATATATGCCATGCCTGTTTTCAGCGCCACGGACGGCGCCACGTTGACCGCCGTTTTTCATGACGTGCGCTCGAGACGTCTGTTGCACCTGAACAGACATGAACAGACCTGAAGCGATCACCACGACATTGCCCCCCCAAAACAGGTCAGTTGGACCTCATGTGACAGGAGTTCATCATAAAACAACACCGAGTCAATGAGGCAAAGACATCAGGTTTTTACTGGGTCTTTGGACCTGTAGGGTTGCAACCAAACTGAAATCCACTACCAAACATGGTCCACTTTCCCTAGACCTCCCTCAGTTTGACCACTTTCGAGAGCTTCACCTGGCTTCGCACCTCCTTTTCTGGTCCAAAACCCTTCACCCGAAGGGCAGGTGCAGACCTTCTCCACCGGGCGGGGTCGTGTCTCGCTGTGTCCCGGCGCACGCCATGGATCCAGGAGACTCCCCCGCCTCCCCGGCGCGACCCGCCGAGCGGGGCGATCCATGCGGAGCTCCGCGACCCGCCAGTGGGGTGAACGACCAGGTGTTCAAAGAACTATACAAATGCAAGGTCCTTTTGGCAGGTGGTTTTGGGCAATGCCTCCAAAATCCTGGGTGAGAGACTTTGGGCCTCAATTCGACAGGCCTCAATATCCTCAGAAAGATAATTAATGATGTTAACTGGGTGTGGAGTGACTCTCAATGCAAAGACTACCCTCCCACATGGACCCGGTGATGAGCATCGTCTTACGAGCCAATTTCACGGGGGTGGGGCACATATCCCAAGATCTGTAGAAAGTCCATCATGCAACTCCCTGTTGACCAAGAAATTATGGATACCTTGGGGAAGACATCATTCCCAGCACCGCGTGGATCGTGATGGTTCAGTTGCAGGCCTTTCCATCTGAAAAATAGTGATGTGATGTTCCTTTTTGTAAGTCCGACTGTTACAGGTTTACAGGGACAACCCCAACCTACATATTCCTAGAACCTGAATGACCTCTATTTTGGACAACCCAAAATATGGCCTTTTCCTATCAAAACAGGGGTCAGTTGGGTTCCAGGTTAATACAAGTTATAATATAAGGAACCATTGGGTTTAATGTTTTTAGGGACATGGTCGGATTACCCCACTCGTCGTGTCGGATACCCGACGCCAGCGGCCGAGCAGGATGGAACTGAACTCCGGGCGACACCAGCAAACTCCAACCTAATAGGAATGGCCTCCAACCTAATAGCGTTGGCCTCCAACCGAACTCCACTCAGGTGTTGGAATTGATGGTTTTGGAGGTTGGACCTGCAAAAGGGTGTCTTCCAATTGTGCTACATGGACTCGGAACCTCCAGAATTTGGGATGATGTAAAGTTATAACAATCGATCCAAAACCCTGGGTTTCAGAGTGAATACTGTTGTGTCATCTAAGTGAATACAGGGTATTCTATGTCAAACAAACATTTAAAAAACAAAAACACAACATACCACCACTGGCTTGGGAGCCAATAAAACACATGTCAATACTGCAGGACATTCAAAGTGACCATGGCTGAGGTCACTTGAGGTCACTCCAACGAGGTCACGTGAAGACACTCCAAAGAGATCACTTTGAAGGTCCTCCGCAGCTTTGCTCGTAGCCAACGAAAGGAACAAAACTATAGAGATCATACAGAGATCATAGAACTATATACAAAACCACAAAGACACAAACGTTCGCTCCATCGGCATATACTAGCGATTTTCTCCAAACAGGACAGTTTTCCACGGCACTTGCAGTAGAATTCACCACATGTCACCACCCAATGAAGCAATTCATCCTCGCACAGCTGCACACCTTGATCGACATCAATCCCCTTGCCCTGCGCAGGTCTTCTGACCTCACCCCATCACTCATCTACTCAAATCGATTCGTTTCAAAAAAGAAACATCGACCGAGAAAAATACAATCTGTTGACCCCCCCAACAAGTCTATAGTTTTCCTCCAAATCCCCAACACAAAGATCCTTGAAGCATCTTGAAGGCAATTCTGAGAACAGAATCCACTGGTTCTGGGATGCTCTACTCGAAACGAATGTCCCCGCTGCTCCCGTTCTCCCGGCCGTACTGCCGTGGGTGGCCACACTGCTGCGGCCATGGCCTGCGGGCGAAAGCATCAAATTATATCCACCCTGGCCGATGGAGGTCGACATCCACGGTAACATCACGTAACACAGTTTGGCTTCTACCGCAGCCTGGCTGGCCAAGCCAGCATATGTCCAAAACACAAGAGAAGAAGTCTTACAGTCTTACTTGCAAGCGTCTCTGCGAGGCATGACGACTCTATATAGAATATATGAAGGAAGAATAAGTTATATTTGGATATATAATTTGGATATATTTGGTGTGCGCGCGCGTGTGTATGTGATCTAAAATACAGGTCCCCCAGGTTCTAGGGAGTATGGGAGCCGATTCGGGTGATGGAGATGCTGGTGTGGTTGAACATCTACGATGAAACATGTGACATTGTGCCATGTGACATAAAAAAAAGGAGTCCCAACGCGAGTCAGTGCACACAAAGGTCAAGCCGGGACTGCCTTTCCCTTTGACTTGCCAAATCTTTCTGCCCCAACAAGTGTTTGCTTCGCTGCCCCAACGTCCACCACACGTCGCTCGCCACGTCCGCCACGTCGGTGCGAGGCAATTCGTCACATCGACGCGGGGTCCACGTGGGGAAGGAAGGGTTCCGCTTTTTCACTGAATGCCTCCACTCAATGATGAGCAGTTTATCTTCAAGATACCTATAGATCTTCCAAGTATGTAACATGTCTGCCTTTTGGAAGATCTATAATATATATAGGTATGTGTCAATCTCAACTATATGTTGAATGACTATGTGACTCTTACTCAAACAAGCAGGAATGCGAACTAGTTCACCCATGAGAGTGGGCCAGAAATCATGACTCTCTAATTTTAATCGTACATGCTGGTGGAAAAGCCTGAACCACCCCAGCCACCTACATACTACTATAGTACCCATTAGTGCTGGAGGAGTTCTTCACAAAGACTAGCAAATCTAGCCAACACAGGTGTATATAGTTTCGCATCATTATGATTGATTCCTCCAATCACCCCAAGAAAATCAGTCAATCTTACCATGGATTTGTCTACCAAGTCTTGGTTCAGTTTTCCCAAAACAAACATGGTTGACACTGCCCTACCCTACGCCTCCAAGTGACTTGTAAGGTGTTTGGGGTGGGTGCCAGGAGGGTCCAAATACCTTCAAGAACTGAACCAATGGTCGCTCTGAACAGCTCCCTGTTTCAAGGAAAATATGATGAAATATGACACACCAGGAGTCACAAGACGGGGTGGTGTTTAGTCCCATCCAGTGAGTGGATGTCCTGGCCACCCCGACCTCCTCCGTTCGTTCGGCACCCCGACATGGAACACTTCTCATTCCCGACCCGAACCACCAGTGTGTCTCAACCTGCCAAACACATACGTATACGCACGTATACGCACGTACCCACCGACCCAAACACGTCCGTCAGGTTTCCCGACCCAGTCCACCCCCCACCAGCTTCAAAGATTCAAAACGGCTTTCTGTAGCTAACCAGGTGCAGCATGCCTTCTCATCTGCTTTGGCCAATTCGTGTGAATCTCTTCACACTTCCTTTCGTGCGTCTTCCCACGCGGCGCGGGGGCAGTCGCCTGGCCCAGGCAGCAGAGGTTGGCTCAGCGCCGCACTCGAGCTGGCGGTCGCGGCCGCGGGCCGAGGGGCATCCTGAAGCGAAGGCGAGGTAGAAGTCCATCCAGGAAGCTTTAAAAAAGGGATGGGCTCAGACGCTCCTGGACCCTCATATGCAGGGGTCCGACCCTAATATGGAGGGGTCTGGACCCGAACCAATCCCTATGGTTTTGAGGGAGCAGTTGGGCTGTGAACGGAGCGTCGGGGGAAAGGTTAATTACTTGTGAAACTTTCTGGTGGGACTAAACTCCCTGGAACTAAGATGGTGGAAGTGGATGGCATTGTGCAAGGAAGACCATGAATTCCGAAGACCAAACTAAAATAGGGGAGGAACTCCACTTCCATGTTAGTTCACGTTAGTTCCAGGGAGATTGTGTGGTATTTTTGTCCAATAGGCACCCCTTTGGAACTGCTGTTTTAGTATATATAACGTCACCTAAATCCCATGGGTTGGTGGTCCCTAGATGGCTTTGGCACTCCTTAGTCCTGACAAATGAGCTCCTGGCAGCCTGGCATCGCTACTAGTAACAAGAAGCTACTACAGTAGTAACAAAGACGGTTGGATGGCATGATGGGGCGCTGGAGGGATCGAAACACCTCTTCATCTGAGGCACGAACTTACAAACGTCTATACGCTCTGTGGCAAACAGGCTGCCCCTTGATCCCTTCGGAAACCTCTTCATATAGAGGCCGGGTTTATTCATCAAGAGTCTACGAGTCTACATTAAATTGAACATCACAGGTCGATCCTCCTCGTGTGAGGCCAGGTGAAGCGACAAGGCTTGCTCGACCTGCAGGGGCTCGGCAATTCGCCGAATTCGGCTCGGCAAGCACCCGTCCGTCGGACCCAGGCCTGAACACCTCATATGCGGCCATCCGAACCCGGTTCGGATCAAGAAAACAGCAAAAGGGAGTCGACTGGGCCGGGAAACAGGCCTATCATTTCGTGCCAATGAATCAAGCCCACTCCATGGGACTAATAATGTTATGCCAGTCCTGTGGAGTGTCTGGGACTACCACCCCACCCTACTACAGAACCTGCAGCCCCATCCGAGAAGGGAAAGGCTGACATGCCAACACAAATCCACCCCAATCACCGACAAAACGTATGGATCTCTACAGGGAGGCTTGAGCGTTCACCCATGAAAAAGAAGGGCTGCGGCTAGAATCCGGGTAGAAACCGCATGCTACATCCTGTTTCTTGCCTATCCAATTATATAACAGCTATCAAAAAAACATTGCCTCCAAATCCCCTCCCAAACCCACCATGCACACAAAAAGAAACACCAGTCTGCCTGCGGCCTGCCGCGGCCTAGCCTCAGCCTCCCTCCGCCTCCCCAATTTCCCCGCGCAAGCGTGGGCAATGGGTTGCAACCTCGTGCTCCACTTCCCTCAGTCGCTCGCGCCGGGGCACGTTCCAATTGCAGGACTTGAGCACCTCAATCGAGGCCGCCTCGTCTCTGGCATCGGCCGTCACCTGTCGGCCGGAACACGATCGTCAACCCTCCGAAGGGGTCAAGACTGGTGTGTGGGGCTTCTCGGCTGTGGTGGTTTCGAAGTGCATCGGCCACAAATTATGTCACGGACCGACTGGACTTGACCAAATATGGTGTTCAATGCTCAAAATGCGATTTAAAGAAACAACAAAGATAACCTGAAGCTAATTGCGTGGGGGTTTTGTTCATGCTCAGCTGGAGATTGTGATATTAAATGCAACGCGTGCTGTGAGTGCATCAAACCTCGCGCAGTGAAAATCCAGCCTTTGAGATTTACTCAAAATTGTGGACAAACCATGGCCTGTAAGGGATTGAATTTGGATTGAATTTAAACAAACCAAGCCTGGAATGCTACTCCTTAAGGGTGTCTCATGCTTTGTCCCATGGTAATGTGACACATAGTCACATAGTATTAAGGCAAGTGTCTTTTCCCCCGCCCAAACCGCCCAAAAACATCGCCTCCACACCGACAAGAACCGCGCCACACCCATCGCCGAAGCTCCCACAAGCGCAAAAAAGAGAGAGAGAGAGCGGGGTCGACCGCGCTCCGCGCGCCTCGCGGAAGAGCGCCAGGCTCTGGCGTTGCTCCTCTGTGAGCTCCATCCTCGCAGGGCGGATGCTTTTGGTCCAACGTCCTCCGACGGATCCTCCGCGCGCGGCGAGAAGCGGTCGCGGACGGGTTTTCTGCGACGGTTGGAGCTGAGTGGAAAAAGATGGAAAGAGGTGGTGTTCAGCCCAATAACAACGAGGCCCTGCAGGCCCTGGGTAGCGCACCGTGTTCAAACAAAAGGATACAATGTCAATAACACCAACAACTGGCAGCGTCCCAAACATCAAGTGAAACAAGCGCCCAAAAACCATCTGTTTGGAAATAAACCAACACACCTGATTGACCCTAAGGCTCCAAAGGCCTTCGTTTCGTTTCGGTGTTTGGTGTGTGGGTGTTTCGGGACACCTTGGGTTCCAGGACCTTAGCAGTTCGTGACCTCGAACTGGAGTGTCTAAGTGACCTCGGACTAGGTGGCCTCACCCGGTAGGATGTCAAGGTCAGGTTTAATATGACAATTATTGGCCGTTTCAAGTTCTTTTTTTTTCCAAAGCAGTGGTGGCATGTTGGGTTTGTTGCACTTGATGACACAACAGTATTCACTCTGAAACGCAGGGTTTTGGATCGGTTGTTATAACTTTTACATCATCCCAAATTCTGGAGGTTCCAAGTCCATGTCACAGAATTGGAAGACACTTGTTAATGGGTTCCAACCTCCAAAACCATCAATTGCAAAAACCTGTTTTCTCACTGTTTTCGTTCCTTGGATCCGCCCCGCGCCCCGCGGCGAGTTCCTGGAAGGCGGAGATGTGCAAAAACAAACATCCACGGGGCGCTCCACGAGTTCGACGTGAGCCGATGCGCGACATGAACCGAGACGGCCAGCGGTTCCAGCGGTGGCGACCTCGCGACCGGTGGCGGCGTGACGGGCGAGACGTGACGGTGTCGGTGGGTGAAGTGACGAGACATTTGTTCAGTCCAGTGAGTTGAGTCCTTGGCCATCTGAGCAGCGGAACTGCCATGAAAAGGTGGAGAATTTGTGAAACCTGTCACCTTTGGTCATCAGCCCAAATGCATCCAAAGACTATTTGCAGCTTGGCTTTAAAACTGCAACAAAAGAAGTTACCTTTCAAAGGGGACCTCCTTCCACAGTCTCGGACTAAGAGGATATATATAGGTACTAGAAAGGCATTCTGAGACCCACGGTTTGTAGCCACCCTGTCCCACGATATAGGGTCTCCAGTAAGGGCCACTAAGAGGCTTAGGCTTTCATTCACGATATTTGGAGCCAATTGGTGGGTAAGACCAGCTAAGCAGGGCCTTCTCCACTAAAGACTGGCACTGTGGAATCATTAAGAGAGGCACTAAAGACAAGCACTATAAGAAGGTAGGAATTCTCCAACTTACAGCCCTGGATCATGAGTGCCTTTAAACATAATTAATAATAGACTCTAGCTTTATTCACAATTAAGTTGAAAACATCAAACATGCAAACATATGCATCACTCACTTCACCGATAGACACCCAGGAAGAAGTTCGCTCCGCTTGTGCCGGTGGCAGCTCTTGGTTACTTTCATTACATTGGCGCTGTGCAAGCACCATCACCCTTATCAAATAAAATAGCAGGATGGGTAGACCTTTGGCATTTTGGTCAAAAGTGTAAACTGTAAAACGTGAACATCCATGTATACTGTATACTGTAAATGTATATCAAAAAACAACGTTCTCAACACTCCAAACACCTGCATGTTGGCATTCAATCCTTCAGTCAGGTCGTGACAGTGAGTTGATGTCCAAGCGAATTCCACATGGACCCCAAATTCCAACATGCACCAAACATGAATAGTTTTCTTGGATTTGCTCAAGTAACAGGGGCAACAAAAAAAAGGAAGGCAATTCACCGAGCTCCAGGAACAAAAAAGAACACAACCAACGCCCAACGTGCTAGCACCAGCTTTCACTACCTTCACTCACCAGGCAAGGGGGGCTTCCACCGGCTCCATGCGTGTTGTTTTTTTTGAAAGCCAACCAAAACGCATGGGAAACTCCCAAAACCTCTCGATCAGTCGGTTCGGGCGCCCGGCCCTCCATGATCGCTCGGGCGGAAAAATGGGTCTTGGGTCCAGATATGGGTCCAGGGGGGAGTTGAACGGAAGATGTCTCCCGATTTCGACGAGTTGAACGAAAGGTTTTCGTACGAAACTTGACGTCGAAACCACGCGCTGTCGGTCGGTCGAAGCCCGAAGAAACCTGATAGGCAGGACATTTCGAGAAATGGAGGGGCCTGGAAAGTCCAACACATTCCCAGACCCATTTCTAAACTGATCATTTTTTGTAGTGTAAACATCCTTAAACTATGCAATGGTTCTTCGGGATTCAGGCTATTGAAGGCTATACATGGTGGTTCGGCTTCACCCAGCGCCCCGTGGGCTCTTCTGGTGTCACCCGGTGTCTCCCTGAAGAAGTCGTCGAGGTGTCGAGTCCTCGCTGGGGTTCCCAGTCCATGGCTGCCACCAGCCAACCTGAGAAGAAGGCGCGTGGAACAACGGGCCCTTTCGCCCGTTGAAGCTCCCAGTTTCACAACAAGAACACGTGGAGCCTCCTGACTAGTCAAATCCGTGGCCATGACTATAGTCAGTAAAAGCTTTTTGCGGAGACCAAGTGCTTCATTCTTGAAGAGGCCTGGCTTTTCAGGCCACCTGGCGGGTCACCCGGGCCCACCGTAATTTCAGTTTGCACCCACCGAGTGAAGATCTGGCAGGCAAACCCTGATTGAGAAGCGGCCAAAAAACAACGGTTATATTGACTGTTTGGAGTTGGCATCACAGTCATTCTCATTTCGTAAGATCCAATATTTATCTAAGGTCTAATTTGCATTGCTTTCTTTGCAAGTTGCTTTCGACCTGCGGGAGCTTTGAAGAGCCTCACCTCCCAGGCATCCTGCACAAACTTTCACCAAACATGTTCCTTACAATTCCACCTCCAAGCGCCCTACAGGAATAGTATTCGACCGAGACCAGGCGTGGCCTTCCGACCTCCTGGAAGGCCACATCGACCAGGGTATAGCCATTGGTTGGGGAGAATCTCCGTTCATCCCCTCAACAAAAATCCCCCAAACCGTCAAGGTGTGCAACCTTTGGGCCATGTCTGGGCGCTCCTGGCAGTTGCCGATCTGCCCTTGCAGCAGATCTTGAGGGCTGATTCCTCCCTGCGAGCGGAGCAGCGGAGCCATGCGGAGCCATGCGGAGCCATGCGGAGCCATGCGGAGCCGCTGGGTCATTTGAGGTGCGAAAGGAAAAGGGATGTATCGTCTAATATGGGAGTATTAACAGTTGGTTAATACCCTGACGATCCATGACCACACATAGGTCACAAATAGAAATGAATCGATATGCATACGTTTCTATTGATCGTGTTATTTGAAGACGTTGTCGAATCACAGATTGGGATACCTGAAATGTATATACAATTCCAGTATCATTGTCGGAGGATAAGACCATGAAGCCCCAGACCGTGACAGACCGTGATTGGTCTATTTAGTCCCTTTAAAAATGAAGTCATTGTCGGACTCCAGCGTGACAACCCGTGACGAATTTGAATTTGGGATCGTTGGTTTTGTGGTTTTTGGGTTCTGTGGTTTTGTGGTTTTTGGGTCTGAAATGATCTCGTTTTTTGAGGTCGGACCTCACAGGGTGAGGTCGGAGAGCCCCAGAAGACACAACCCCAAATGTTAGCATATAGAGCTAACTTTCGATCCTCAGGGATATATTATATATATATACGACCATATCGTCTAATTATCTGAGAATGTCTGGGATTATCGTTCCCCAATATGGATGTGTATGTTTATTAGGAACCCCGCCTGGCCCAATAAGTTGTGGTATGCTGTCTAATATTTTTCCTCAACGCCTGGGAGGTCTCCCTATTGTGATACACACCCCTTCTTGGTGTAAGTGATGTAACCTTGCATAACAGGCATTCCCAAATATTGGGTGCCTATATCAAAGAACTCCTTCCCAATGGTGTGTAGTCTATGTCTTCCGCCCACGGGTCTTTGGAGCACTGATATCAACAGAAAAAAAAGCACTGTTAAATGGAGTTCACTTCGTCACAACCCGACGAACCAACCAACCAACCAACAGCTATCAACACCTGTTTCCACTCTCACCACTACGTGTCTAAGAAGCTCCTGATCTTCTGGAAGTTCTGAACCCTTCTTCTTCTTTAACAACTTTCGACTGCCCCGACCACCCACAGTCCCATCCAGAGCCGGCCACGGTGAACCCGGTCGAGTCCGGCGAGGCCCTTCGTCGTGAACCCGACGGCTGCTTGATGTTTTTGGGAGGCCAGCACGCCAACACTGAGGGGTGCCCCAAAAAAGAAATAAGGGAATGGACTGAATCAATTCCATGGTATGGGAATATATATGACTCATGACCCTATGAAACAGGTACAGTACTTGTACCTAGTTTGTAAGGTACTTGGAGATTCCAGTTATAGTAGGGGGTCATTCCCTCATTGCCTGCGAAGCACCACTCAGGAGATTTGACGATATCTATGTACAGAGCGCTTGACTGAGCCTTGTTCTTTCAAAGGCCAGGCATCTCTCCTTAATATGCGTGCGGCACACAACCACTTCTCTTGTGAAGGCTGCGGAAGCACGTACTGCGGAAGCAGTCAAAGTGAGTGACCCGACCAATTATTTGAATAAGACTAAGAAGGGATTCTCTAAAAGCCAACACAATTGCCAGCAGCTCAGGTTCTCATTCGTCATAGGGTACTTCACCCCCTGCGAGATTTTGAAGTCCGGACCGCGGCCACAGCACGCAAACTCATCGGCTGCTTATGCGTTCACCGACCAAATGCAACAGCTTTCACTAATCCCCAAAAGGTTGTTTATATGGAACCTTTACTAAAGGACATCTTGGGGTCTGTGCATCTTGTTTCTCTCTGAAACTACCTGTCATAGGTCTTGCGTGCAAAGTGGACACCACAGGGTACTCAACTTCTTCGCGCCGTCCCTCCGCCGGTCTACCGTCGGCTCAGCCCGCGCGGGAAGAAGCCACCTCACTAAAGCCGGCGTGCCATCCTGGCGCGGTGGTGGGCATGGGTGGGGCCCTGCCGGTGCTGCATTTGGGGCTTGGTTCTCGAACCAATGAGACCTGGATCTTCCAACTGTGCAACATGTCTGCCGCTGTCTGTTTCCAAAAGCAGCCCAACTTCGGCAGACATGTGGAGTTGAAAGGTCCAAATGTTGCATTGGCCCTTCCAACAAAGGGGCACTGAGGAGGTGAAGAACTCCAAGATGTGCTTGGGCGGTGCCATCTGACCAGTCACACTGGAAGCCCGCATGCCGGCTCGCGGCTCGCACCAAAATTCTGAGAAGTTCCTACTTGGTCATGAAGGCTTCAGGGAACCAATGGATCACTTCTTTGACCTAAGCTGGCGGCTTCATGGATTCATATGGATTCCCAATGGTGTACGTCACCCTGCTTGGTGATTCAGCTCACACTGCTTGGAGAGCTGCGTCTCACCTGATGAAGCTCTCCACCGCCGTGGGTGGCGCTTGCTGCTTGGCTTCGGCCTCCTCTTGTGCTGCCTCCTGTGGGCGGCAGCTTGGATGTGCAGCTCCCACCACGCCGGGCAACACTTCAAGAACCTAACCCGAAGACTCCATGAGACTGCCACATTTGCCTACATCGGGATGGTTGGAGTGTCTGGCTACGGAACAATGTCCACGCCATGAAAATGCCTTCAAATCGGATTGTTCTTTGGTTCTCCGGACTTCTGCGTTTCGGTGGAGAAGGTCCGACCCCTGCCATGGAGGGTCCAAGGATTCTGTAGGAACCACAACCCGAAGCCCCGAGCTCACTCACCCTGGTAAGTTGACCTCCCAGGTAGTCTATTCTGGTCTTCCTGACGTGGCGAGCGAGCGAGTCTCGTCTGGTATATCAGGCATTCTGCCAGATATCCACCACACATGTGATTTCACATTCTTGGTTGTGTCACAGTTTCGACCCACAGCCAAGTTCGTGGCTTCACCAAGTGCCGGAAGACCAACCAATCACCCGAGGTGCGCCGTATAGCCAGAGCTGATGGGAGCCAAGCATTCTACCAAAGCTGTTCGCCCCGAGCTGGGAATTGGTGGAAGACTCTCTTCTGCCTCTACCAGGTTTGGGCATGGGAACTGGGGCAGGCAGCATCTAGGTCGGTATCAAGAAACTATAATCCTCTTCTGGGCCCCAGGTTTGCTTCAGAATTAGGAAATCTCAATGGAACCTTTGTGGTTCATTATCATGATGATCATGGATCATTGCTCCATGTTTGTAAGTCAAATGTTGTTTCCTCTCCCTCTCCAAAACACACGTACATCAATCTCACTTTGAGGCCGCTCAAACTTCACATGTCCACGGTGTCTGACATCCTCTCACTACTTCAGCGCGCCTGCCGGGCACTTTCCACAAAGGCCTCCTCCTCGCGACGCTTGCGGCGGGCCTGCAGGAGAGTGCTCCGTCAGTGCGTGCGTGTGTAACGGTGACTTTCGTCCAGCCATATGGACTGACTCCACCATTTCGATCCGTGAAAAAATGAAGCTGAACCGAACGAACTCTACCTTGTGCATATGAGTGGTGTCCTCAATCCCCAGTCAGTTCTCTTAGGCAGGTGATGTCCCCAATCCGACATCGTGGATGTCGGTGATGTTGGGGACGGTGGGTGACGGAAGTGTATGAGCATTTGCCAATACAAAGCGAGGTCCTGGTCAACTTCCACACGCACGCACACATAGTAATTATACAGTACCTGGAACCCAACTGACCCCTGTTTTGATAGGAAAAAGGCCATATTTTGGGTGGTTGGTGGTCCAAAATAGAGGTCATTCAGGTTCTAGGTAAAATATAATGCATAATTAATATACAAACAGTATATTACAATACATGGGTGATCCCCACATTGAAGCTGGAACAAGTTCTTAATACTGTCTTAATTAAAGTTGTGTAGGAGTAAGAAGTGACTTCATACAACAAACAAGTCGTGATAAGTCAAAAGGAAGAAACAAATCACCCAAATCAAGATGCGTGTCTTTCTATGGCTTTCCATCAGCATCCGCAATTCCTGCACCAGCTGCGCGCCTCATAGGGGTTCTTGTCCAGGGACATCAAGCCGTGCTTCCGATTGAAGTACTCCGGCGTCGACTCCCTGGGGCGTTCCATCCGGATCCAGAGCGGTTGGAGGCTCCGTTCGGCTGGCCCGCTCCGTTTTGGGTCCAGTGGTTAGGTGCCAGGGGGGGGTCAAAACCACCTTCGGAGCCCTGCGGGGATTGCAAACAACGAGATAAAGGCGATTGCTGCTGGTCAAAACTCACGTTTGTCATCCCCAAATGGCCATGATCACCCACAAAACCACCGCGATGCAGGTGATGCCCCAAAGGAATTCAAGCACATGTTCACCTCAAATGTTTCAAGGAATCGGGACGCTTCCGGCACCAACCAGGATTCCTTGGACCAAACCCGTTGAAGAAGTCGATCTTAACAGTCCTGCTTCGTGGTTCGAGCCGAAACGAACGGAGGGTCCACCCTGGTCACATCGCATCCACGAGCCCAAAGGCGACCAGTATACTTCCCACTGCGACACGGGAATCTCGTGGGGTCAATGCTTCGATTTGCGGAAGGAACCTGGAAAAAGTACCATCATATTTTTGTCGAAGGGGATTGACCGGATTGAACCGTACCCAAACGCTCCATGAGACTGCCATCTTTGCTGGGGTGGTGCCAGGGGGGGTCAATTGATCGGCATATATGGCAGTCCCATGGCGTGTATGGGATATAAAGGGAACAAATAATAACAATTTCATCTGATCCGCAAAACCAGGTCGAATTCGTCTCGAACTGACGGCGAGACTCTTGACTTTCGCTTCAGGGGTCCCTGGCTGGAAACGCCTTTGGAAACGCCGGAGCATGCCGGGCCTCGCGAGCCAAGCGAGCTCATGAAAGGTGTCCAGTATGTATGGAAAAAAATATCAAGGAAACTATTCATTGCTATTTTATATGCTATTCTATCATATTCTAGCTACTTTGATGGGGAACAATGTCCAAAGTACTGGTGCTGTGCTGGTTTCATGCTGCTTTGTCCGAGAGCGATTCCAACAAAGCCTAAGAACTGGAGGTGTTTTCAAGGTGCAAGAATTGGCTGTCTGGCATCACAAGAACAGCTTTAGGCAAGTTAAACAACATTGAAGAGACAAAATCAAGTGAATTGGCACGTTCCACCTGTTTATGTTTGATGGGGAAACCCATGCCCTAATTAGAGAAAATGCAAGTGATCTGAATCTATGTACTTCCAGGGTAGGTCTCTGCTAATCCCTGAAAGCTGAGTTCCTCGCTTGATCTTCCTCAACCCGAAGCGCTTCCATCCATCCACTTCCTTCCCGGCAACGGAACATCTTCACGGCAACGGTCCGTCAACGCGGGGACGAACGATTTCCACGGAGGACGGAACGAGGGAACCAGGCAATGTTTCCCTTTTTTAACCAGGGATGATCAGGATGAGGAGGGACAAACACATCCATTGTTCGACCCCAACGAAAGACCACACTTGCTGGTCACAAGCAGGTTAGGTTGAACATCTCTAGTTCCACACGGCCATATCTTGTTGAAAACTCTTGTGAAATCTCACCATATGCATGCACCATTGCTCGCGTCCCGCACAACCTCCAGAATATGGATTCAAACCACCTTGTAGTAGTATAACAGCACTTGATGGAAAAATAAATCACTCGTGAGACTCGTGGCCAACTAGTGACTGGAAACAAACCTCACAAATGGACACACATTTGAACAATCTTGATCTCCTGCAAACACATATGATGCAGATATATCTATAAACCATAGAGCTTTGATATGTTCAAAGCTGGCCAAATGGTCCATCAATTCAGCAGCGACTCTGGGGATCAAGCACTGCTGATGTTTGTGCTGACTCAGAGCAAGTGGGTGGCAGTCTACCTACCGTTCGACTGGTTGCTCAGATGCTCAGGTTCAGACCAACAAAGTGCGTTTTCCCCAACAGTTCCGCAGTTGCTCAACCCAAACAACAATCATGAAACATCTCCGGACTAGAAAAAAACACACATAAACGTCCATAAACACCATTTCAGGAACTGGATGGCTATCAACACTCCCCCCAAAGCGGGGCAAATCCTATTCTTCCCGAAAACCCCATCTTCCGCCTGCTCTTCAGTTGCTTGGCCTCATGCTCATGGGCTGGTCTTGGTGGGTTGCAGGCTCACCAACCCTGACAACAAAGCAACCTCCAGAAACTCCTAATCAACCCCCCAAAAAACACAACAATCCATTTAAGGCTGCATCATGCTGCATCAAATCCGTCCTCTCCCCTTTCGGATACCCGGTCGGGGGAACTGGTTGAGTGGCGGAGTCGCTGACATCTTCGTGTCGCTGGCATACCCATCTTCGAGACCGTCAACAGCTTGTATTGTTTGTCACATGAGTCCGTCTACATAGCACTACCTTGCTGAGTTTCCGCATGGGCACTCTCGGAAACCATGTTCCGCGTGGAAATAGATTGGTTAATCGTGTGGTGGGGGGGACAGGCCTAGAACGGCAGCTGAAGCGGCTTTGGACTTCAGACAGGCCGTGGGACAGGCTTGGGCGAAGGATCTTGGAAATAGACTTTCTATCTTTTATCGGCGGATTTTGCGACTGGCGTCAGAACAGCTTCCGGGCCATTTTCTGCATGAAAATCGGTTTTTATGGTTGGTGCGGCGGCTGGGGGCGTTCAAAAGGCTGTTGACATGGACTTGGACTTGCAACAGTTTGTTCTTCGACAGGCTGGGGGATAGGCGACAGGGAGGAGGAGCAAAAGGACATACGTGGACTCTCAAAGTACCTCGGAAAATGGGTACAAGATGGTACAAGTACCTGTTGTTTATGAGGTCATGTCCCATTTTCTAAGGTACTTTGGAGGGTCCGGGTCCAGGTAGACCTTTACTGGCGTCCGGGATGTCCGGGATGTCCAATTCAAATGGGTCGGTCATCCCCACCTTTACCCGCCAGAAAAGGGATAGCGTGGGGGCGCGTCGTGGATCGTCCGCAAGTCCGTGCATTCAAATATATAGGTCGGTTTATGGTCCTCAAGAGTCATCAATAAGACCTATAGCCTATGGGATTGAAATTGAAACTCTCGGGCATGGCTAGAAACCCCCGCGCACACGTAGACCGAAACTCTCGGTTGGCGCGAGGGGCCGGGTCTGCCACCGGGTGCGAGTGGAGCACCGCGCCAAAAAGGATCCCTCAGTGCGCTGTGGTCACTTTGGGGCGTGGACCACAAACGCGGCGCGGCGACTCCAACAAAAAGGACACTGTCGCACCTGCACAAGAGCACCTCGCATCTTTCCCCCCGGCGCCTCTTGAGCACCTCGCAAAAACAAATGCTTTAATTGTGGGCCTGCCAAAGCCGGTTGGAGGACAGAACTGTGAGGATGACAGAATCGGTGCGGCACCAAAACTCCACCCCCTGCTGCAAAGCGCATCCGACATTGCTGCATCTCGAGCAAGCAAAGATTTACATGGCAATCGCCTAGACGCCGCAAGGTTGTCGTTCCCAGCATCCGAATTGAATTCAGTTGTCAGCTTCATCCCTCACAACCATCCAGAGTCGGCGCAGGTCGCCTCAGAGTGGAGAACAAGAGCCACGATGTAAAGCGGTCATTTCCATTGGGGCTCATATACCACAGCCTCAACAGCCGCATCTGCAGCTTGAGCCTCAAAACGGACTCCAATGCCTGTCTCTACGGTGCCGCGGAATTCCAAGGGCAAATAATGCGGCGTGCGCGTAGCACACGTCACCAACCTTGCTTGAAGTCCTGGAAAGCCCACGCCTCTCTACTCTGGCGCTCCGAGCATGCTTCCCAGCTGATTCCGAGCTGCGCTGTAGAACACGCTCCATCGGGAAGCTTGTTATCCCGGCATTGGTCTTTCAGGCCAAGCATGAAATCCCACTTTCGAGAAACAGCATGCGCGATTCTCTGCCATCCTATGGTCCAGGCTCGGTTCATCCATCAAGTCGCGCAGCTTCTGCCATAATGCAGAGGCTTGAGATGTTGACAAACCTCCAGCTACAACTGTGGCAAGAATGCCGCAGGGAAGAATCGGTGCCACACAGCATCTTCGCGCCCCCGAATCAATCACTTGATGCAACATGGTTGCTTCTGATGCCATCCGTGAGTCTTGGAACAACACTTGTGAGCTTCTTATCGTCATGACAAGGATAGAGTTCGATGCAAATGGCATCGCTGTCGATGGGTGTTGTTATGGTGTGTGGCTGTGGTTGTTGGTGTGTTGTTGTTGTTGTTGTGGTGGTTGTTGTTGCCGCCCAACAAAGTTGTCACATGTTGCAAGTCAGGGATGTCAAAGGGACACTGTTAGGGGATAGGATTGTGTCTGCCAGACCCCTTTATTCTAGAAGTTTACAATATGTTGAAAAAAAAACAATCACAAAATGCAACCAGAAAAACAAAAGCAATCACTTAAAAGCAAAAAAATGAAACAAAAAGAAGCAATCACAAATTGCAGCCAGAAAAACAACAACAATCATAAAAGCAAAAAACACAAACATCATTGCAAGCAAAAATGGAACAACTCAGCCGGGCGTTCTGGCGCACTTTTGGGAAGGGTCCACGTTCTGGCGCGCTTTCTGGCGCGCTTTTGAGGGAGGGTCCACTTTCTGGTGCACTTTTGGTCGCTGTTTTTTTACTTTTTTCCGGCGCCGGGTAAAAAGTCGCACTTTTGGTTGTTGTTTTTTTGGTAGTGCGACACTTGACCCGGCACCAGAAAAGACCCTTGTCCAGTACAAACCCTACCCGGCCCCTCCAAACTACTCTCTGTGTTTTGCTTGTGCTTTTTTGGTTGCATTTTTTTTGTTTTTTGTTGCTTTCTTGGTTGCTCTTTGTTTTGCTCGTGCTTTTTGTTGTGTTTGTTTTTTGTTGTTTCAAGTTTGTTGATTTCTAGAATAAAGCCACCTCTGGTGGACACAAGGATAGGGTTGAAGGTTTGGAGAGATGTTAGTAGCTGGACTTGTTGTAGTTGTGTCACTTGAGCCTTGGTTGGTCCGCTTCTTGTTTTTAGAAAATTTTGAGGTGTTATTCTGGGGTGGACAAAAGTCAACAACGGGGCTGCCAATGTTGTTTCTCGGGGGGTAGAGAAAGCAACACCTTTTGAGCGGGGGGTGTAAAAAACAACAGCGTGGTTGCAGCTTTTGCTTCTAGGATGTGGTAGAGGTTCTGAGAAGTTTTAAGAAAGGTTTATTTAAGCAGTTACAATACGTAGGACAGCATACAAGATGGGCAAAGAGTTGCCACATGGGTGTGCAAGGTGTGTAGGGAAGGGACCACGCAAGACCTCAAGGAACATCCAAACAAGAGGAAATCAATTGGGGCCAAGGAGGGCCCCTATTCACACACAAGGCAAAAGATCAATCATTGGACCACTAGTACTACTACCACTAGGACTACTACGGCCACTAGTACTAGAACCACTAGCAGTACTCGTAAAAGTACTTCTTGGTTGGTTGTTTTGGGGGGTGGTCAAGAAAACAACGACGGGCTGCAGACGTTGTTTCCACCCCCTTGTAGAGACAAAAGAAGAAGATATGTTGTAACTGGGTTGCATTTTGTTTGTACCTTGCTGTTGTTGCTGTTGTCGTCATCGTCGTCGTCGTGGTTGTGTGTTGTTGTGGTGGTAACAAGAAATGCAAAATGCCAATATTGCAAGGAACTTTGGGGGCTTAACTCGCACCACCAACCCCTGAAAACCAGCCCGGCTACCCTCAAAAAGTATCAAGAGCGCTGCTCATGCATCTTTGTCCACGCGCAGATAAGCAATACCTTGGACAAAAATGCATCAACATATCTTTTGATAATTTAGTAGGGTATCCCGGCCGGTTCAAAGGGTTGCTGTTGCGCGACATGCCGCCCAAAATGTGTTGCATTATTGGCATGTCATTGTTCTCGTTTCCCTTTCTTACCAACAAAACCAGCTGCTCCCTCTTCCCTTCCTTATCATCTCCTCCGGCCTCCCTTCCCCAAACCAAAAACCAATCACCCCCTCAGTCGGCTTCGCCCCTGTGGCTCTCCCCTTCGGGCTTCCGTGCCGTCCATGGGCTTCCGCGGCGCCGGCGGCACCTGGTGCCGCAACTCCTCCGGGGCGATGTGCCACACCTGTCCGCGGCCAGTCGCGAGGACGGCGCCGTGTGCATGAAGCATGTAGACACGCACACGACACCGAGACCCAAGGGATGTGTGCTAGAGATGAGAGGTGCGTGGATTTTGAAGGAAAATGTTGTGTTATGTTGTTTTTTGGTGGGTGAGCTCTGGAAGACTTGGTCGGTTTTGGATAGTTCTGGACTTTTTTGGGTATGGAGGTGGGAAATAGGTTGGCGGGCAAAACTGGAAAAAGAAATATGATCACATGAATCCATTGGAGAGTCATGTCATGGTTACTGCATGTTTACTGCTTTCATGATTGATGGCTTGGTTCGCATTCAAAAAAAAAAGAAGCTTTTCAGTGTGTCAAAAATTGGAATTCAGGCCACCCGCGTGTCGACACTGCGGGAAACAAAGACCGAGAAAGACGAGGGAGCTCACTGATTGAACGAACCCTAACACAAACAATTGGTTTTCCTTCGAGGGAAAAGAATGTGGGCGGCTGATTCTGTCTAGGGTCTAGACCAAACAACCATTTCTGACCATTTTCTCAATTGGTTGGGTCATGTACATGCTTTGCTGCTTTGGGCTTCGGTGTTTTCCCCAACGTTCTCCAAAACGGTGGAACAGGTCAGCAACATCCACGCGGTCGCGGTTTCCGGATGGAAAAAACACACATAAAGCCTTCCCTTGGACCATTAAAAGGGAAGCATGGCCTTGGAATATATACTGCGTATACACATGTATATACCATTACAAGTAACAGTGGATGATGATGATGATGATGATGATGATGATGATGATGATGATGATGATGATTATGATTTGTAAAAAGGCCTTTCCCTAAAAACATGTGCTCATATGTTACCGACTGTTACTGGCAACGGATAATGGGACACACCCTAGGTTGCCATGGTCAAAAGCCTTATGGCCCCACTAAATGCAATACGCTCCGTCCAACAAACAAGTGGATAATCCCCTGTGTGGCATTCGCACTTCAAGGTCTTTTCAGGGGCCGGTGTTTGCCATCCACGTTGGCCCCTACAGCCCCAACCACCTTCTCATGTGGTAGTTGGAGCCCGATCGGGCCTGGTGGGGGGTTGGAAGCCGGGTGGTGCCGAGTCCTGTCTCTTGGATCCCAGGCAGCTCGCTGCAAGGCCCCTGGAAGGCGCTGCCAATACCTCGGCTGAAGGGAAAGCCGGCACGTCAAAACGAACTCGGCTTTCCAAGCAACCGCAACAGCATGTAGTGGTGCTTTGCCTGCCGTTCACTGAAGCAGAAGAGATGCATGTGCGCAGGGGTCGACACCAGGTACCATAGACTGAACTTGATTGTTCACGACCCGAATATATCCCCTCTATTCATCAAGACACTAAAAGCACCTACATATATATCGTACATACATATTATATAGATTTACTATGATAATATGATAACATTTATGATAACTTGATATAACTTGTGATATCATAGCTCCAGAATCCACTCGGCCCAGGCTTGGGTTGACCTGTACGGCAAGTCCCATACTTATTGGTTGCGTAGCACATCTTCTCATCTATACATCCGTATATACCTGTTCTTTTACGGCACCGGACGACTCTTTTCGGGCTTCTTGGCAGCAGGTATACTCTTGCATTCTCTTTCTAAACCGCAGGTCAGTTCAGCTGGTAGAGCCACCTCTCCACCTCCTACCGAACAAATCCGAACAGCACCTGTCAGCACCGGCACCCAGCGCCATTCGTGCAGGACTCGCTGCCCCAAGGCATGCAAGGCGGGCAGCACGTCGCGCAAGCGCGCCGCGGGGATGCGCCAGGCCTGGCGGCGTGGAAGACGTGAGGTTCAAGGCTACCTGGAACCCAACTGACCCCTGTTTTGATAGGACGTTGGGCCATATGTTGGGTCGTTGGTGGTCCAAAATAGAGGTCATTCAGGTTCAAGTCGTACATTCTAAGGAGGTGGGACTGGGGTGAGGTAGTTTGAAGGCTAAATGGAGGGTGTGTGGAGAAAGGGGGTCAGCAAAAATCGCTTATACGAAGTTAGTGCATCAAAAATACCTTCCACGAAGTTCTGCGAAGGTTTCTGGGATTTCGTTGCAGTCAGTTCTCCTACTGGCCCACCATTCCACGAACTGTCCACGAATAGCCTAAGGTTCTACGAATGTCCCGCACCTTCCACGATGTTAGTAGAACAGGTTTTTGCAAAACCCTTTCTGTGCACTACCCTTCCGTTTGCCTCTGATAGTTGGAGTCCTAGAGAACATCAATTGCCCATGGTCCATGTACCTCCTGAGAATGCATGAACCTAGAGGCCCGAGCCATGAATCAAAAAAATGTTGGTGATGGGTTCAAGACTTAAGAGCAGACTTCAACATAGGGCACGTTCTCCATTGCAGGTACGTCTGTTATAGCTCACGCGCTCACACCACCCAGGGTGAGTTCTGTTTTTGCTTGAGAAGCGCTTGCTAGGAACAGGAATACGAACATTGAAGGCCCTTAGTTTCTTCTCCATGCTGGACCTGCCTGCCCTTAGTCATCCTCAATCGTCAATCGCCGAGGTGTGAGCATTTCCTGTCCCTTCATTGGAACACCAATTGCATGGCTCACCAGTAGGCGATCTGGAACCAGTGCTCCAAGTCATGTATGATGGAGAGGCACTGTCCTCATCTGTTGAGTTTGGCTGCGCCAAAAAGACCTGTTGTTAAAGGTCGGGTTGAAGAATCCCAAAAAGACCAGCCCAGGCTACCCAGGTACGGCAACCTAGTATTTAGGGTCCTATTTACAGTCACTGAACCTCTCACAAAAAGATTTATCAGGTCTCCCCACATGGGACACAAAGGGGGTGCGATCTCGGCTTGGCTCCCACACATGTTCAACAGGAAAATGTATCCAGAATGTCCTTGTTCCAGATCCGCATGGTCTCACAAATTTGGTTCTATAAAAGGCCAAACCAGATCTCTAAGTACCAATCAAAGGGCATGTTACAGCCCCTAAACGCCTCCAGAACAAAGTCCACCTCTTTGGGATGCTGTCAAAAGGCTCCCCAAAAGGCCCAAAACTGTAAAGCAAAACATTGCAAAGCCCTCTCTATAAAATGAGGGTCCAAAACGCATTTGATAGAGTGTCAAATGATAGTGGAACGTTTTGGTGGATATGTGTAAAGGATACGGACGGTAATCGAAAGGTGCATCCTGTCCAGCAAAAAACAACATGAGCAGAAACAAACAAATCCACCTGTTGCCTGTTGCAAGGAACAAGAAGAAGAATAAGAAGCAGCAAACAATGGGAGACACACCTTTAAAGTTCAAGATTTGCTCCTAGGCTCTGAGTTTCTGAAGCTGCAAAATCTTCTTCTGGGAAGTCGGGTCTCGACCGGGTGAACCGGGTGTTCACCACGTACCCGGGCGAAACCGATGAGCCCTTGACTGGAAGTCCTCAAGGATTGACGTAGTGGTCAAAACCACCTTGAGTGGTCTAAAGAGTTCAATACTTAGGACTTCCATGATGTGGAGCTTCAAATTGAGTGGTCTAAACCACCGAAAGAAACATCTCCACCTTGATGGCTTCGCACCCCGACATGAAACTGCTGGATTGAATCCCTGAGTTGGAGCCCTACAGATTCGCTTCCTTCACATCCGTGAACACCTGAGATCGAGACCACGCCTTGACGTGCTGCATCCTTAGACACCGCATTAAAGGTGGGATTGACGACAAGGTGTTTGTGTGTTTTTTGTGGAGCCACCGGCGTGGGGGATGATCTAAGGATTTGTCTCTACAGGTCTCCACTCTCTTGCTGCACTGCATGCCGTGAAGATGACCTCTGGGGCCAGTCATGTTTTCCTACAGATTACACTCCCTGGACTAACATGGAAGTGGAGAATGGCCCCTTGGAAGACCATTTTACACTACAAACGGTTTCCACACTTCCATTTTAGTTTGTTCCACAAAGAGTAAACACATCCCGAAAGAACACCTGCTGTACGGCCCATGGCATCCGAACAGTGTGACTTATGACTGTCTCCCATTCCTTTGTACCGAAAGAATGAAATTGGGTCTTCCGTTGTCAAGTTGTAGCCTTGGCAACGTTATTTTGTGTGAAGAAAAGGGCATGAGATAGACGAGAATGCACAAGCCTTCGTGGGAATCACCATCTTTGCTATGACAATTCCCATCTATGGGAACACCAATGATGTGCACCCTTGGGACATGGGAAAGGTGTCAGGTAGCATTTGTGTATGTATATATATATATATACACCTTTCCCTAGAGGTCCAGTCGGACTCAGTAACACCTTCTGCGTGAGTCAACCTTTTTCAACCCAAGAGTAAAGGTCGACCATCGAGATAATCCAAACATAGGGGTCATTCAGGTTCTAGGGTACACATGTATAGGAATACAGTCACGCAACGACTTACCAAAAAATACCAAAAGCTTCCGATTCTGTGGCCCCCATGCCGAGTGTTTGTCTTCACAAGAACAGGACCCCCTTTCTCGGGTCGGGGATGGCCTTCAAAGACACTTCTTCAAAAAGAGATTGCAGTCAGACGGGGTCCATCAAGTGCAACACCCATGTGTGCCTTTCAGCAAATGATGAGACTTTCAAGAGTTCATCAGTGCATGCAAGTGCATGGCATGAACTCCGCAAATCAGCAAAGATAAGCAAAACAGGTACTTAACCAGCAATCTGTGGCCGGCACTCTGTGGTCTCTACGCATCAACCACAAAACCACCTGAACCCCAAAAACTCTGCAGCCTTTTCCGCGATCTTTACCGGATGGGTTGTGGCAAACAGGTCCACGCATCTGCAAGGTGCCGATGTGCCCTCGTGCCCGGTCCGTGTGCCCCGATCGGCCTGGTGCACTGGGTATAGACTGGTCCCCAGACACTCCTCTATGTATTGCATTGACCCCTGAAACCACCCTAATTAATGTAGGTAAATACATGGAGTGTTTGGGGCCTATGTCATTGCTCCATGTATAGCCATGACCCTAATGTAGGTAATGAAACCACCCTATACATGGAGTGTTTGGGGTCTATTTCCCTTCACCGAGCCCAGAGACAGGTCCTTACCCGGACTGCCGGACTGCCGAGAAAAGGCCGTGATGTGGTGTGTGTGTTGGGGGGCTCGGTCTTGATCGGATTTGATCGGCATAGATTCCAAAACCATGGAGTCTATAAAGGTTGCAGTATACTCTCCATGTATGGCATAGGACTGGCGACCAGTTGGGGTGGTTTCAGGGGTCAATTGATCGGCAGTCCTATGGCAGTCCCATGGAGTCTATATTCGTTACAGTCTACTCCCAAATAAAAGCGACGATCGTCCCCCAAAACCTTCCAGACTCTGCGCTGCTGGCCGCTTCCGCAGCGGAGGCCGGAGAGCGTCAAAGGTCGGAACACCGAACACTCGTCGACTCGTCTCTTCTCGTCTCGTTGCCGCCAGGCGGCAGCATGAAACCCAGGCTACGGCGGAACTTGGGCCTGAAAAGCGGAGAGCATGGTGGCGGAAGCATACACAAATAGGGTGAAACCAATGAGCATGCTGGCGGAGGAGGAGATGTAGAGAAATGTAGAGAACACGTGGGGTTTGTAGTGAATCAACCAACATGAATTCATAAATCCAGCCCTCAGATTGTCGACTGTGGTGTCTGTGCTTGAACATCAAGGGCTTTACGGGCGGGACGTTGACGTTCGATGGGTGCGTGTCTACCGTTGGGATTCGAATGTGAAAAGAACAACTTGCAACCACTTTATCCAGTATTTTCAATGTCTTCAACCGTGTTCCTCGAACAACATCACCTCAAAACCACCTCAAACAATGAATCAAAGGACAGCAGCTGCAGCTGACAACCAAAGTTTATACACGGCCCTATGGTGTCTTTGTGAGTGCTACAGCTCAGCTCACCTGTTGAAAAGACATCCTGTTGCAGTAGCCTGCACCGCTTCAGCACAAAAAAACGTAAAACGCCTAATCAAGATTAGTCAAGAACGGAATGGATTGTCCACGGAATGGAGTACCGCGGACAAGTCTGTGGTCGCTCTCCATCTCCTTCTATGAGCTGGACCATGTAACCCGTGCAAAGTTCTTCAAGATTCCAAACTTTCTGTGATCATGACTCATCAACCAGAAGTGTTTGTGCGACCATGCTTGATTGCAGCTGGAAACCAACATCTCAGAACAATTCAGTCGTGATGACTAGTTGGACTATTCGGTTCTAGTCATGTTTCCAGGGTCCATCAATCACTAGTATCACTAGAAGACCTGCTTGCAATCACCAAGAACTCTTAGCTGCCCACCCTTGGTTCTTGACTTTCCCACACAATTTGTCCCATGCCCGGCTGGCCGCTCACGTCCCTCGCCGGGCCGCGGCGCCCACTGTCACGAGATGTCACGAGGTTCCCCACGTCCAAAAGTTCAGCACGTAGACCGAATAGACACAACTCATGACGTCCACCGGGCTCATCTGCTCTCGCTTCTGGCAGGACAGAACGGGGCATTTCGAGAAAGGGGCACCAGTTCATCACATAAACGGGATAGTCTTCTGCAAAGGAGCTGCGATTTAAACACAAAGCAGTACTTAGATAGTTCAATTAAACATACAAAACAGAAACACACCTGGCCCTTGACGCCTTTTTGTTCAGATCTTCCCTCAAGAATCATGAACATCATCTAAAATCATGAGTTGATATGAGTTGTATTGTGCACTCTGTATTGTCACATGATCTTCGCCCCTCGAAAAAAACCTCTTCAAGACTTATATAACTGAATGACACAAAACTTCTTTCCACTCAGTCAGCGATGCAATAACAAAGAGATAGAGAGAACACTTGAATCATGAATCTGGACAACTTCACCTCTCACTGAAGTTTGTTCACTGAACAGGATCCACCAAAGAATTGCTTCAGCTGCCTGATAATGTGGCCCTCAGATTTATAAACCCCCCTAGAATAATGTATGTTATTTTTTTTTCCCTGCACTGATTTATAAAGGCCCCTAGAATAATGTCTTTTTTTGGGGAGAGGGGTAGTTGTAGTGGAATGTTTTTTATTGTTATGGTTTACTTGTTCCCTTTTGATTTGCTTTACTCACCCTCTATTCCTTATTTACTTTTCCTAAGCTCTTTAGTTTTGAAGCTTTCCAAAAGTTTCCAA